TTATTGCATTCCACCGATAATATATTTGCATGTAACGAAAGAAAATTACATTTGTGAAAGATTTATTATACTCATGAAATATAAACCATCATAACAATATCTTATGTCTAAGGATAGTTTCTTTGCATATATGGAAGAAATTTACATATATATGGGAAGGTATTGCATATGATGAGAGAACATTTTTTATTACATCGATTATGTATATTTGAATATATCTTCAATTTTATGAAAACATAACTGAATATTGTAAAAATTTCTTTTTTTTTTCTTTTCATGATAATATTTATGGATGTTTGAATATATTTTCAATTTTCATGAAAAATACAGCAGAATATTCTAAAAATTGTACATCCCAACAAGATTAAGCATAGACATTTTGGTAATCTAACTATCATTGCTCATTCTTTTAAAAGGACTTAAGTACTTTTAGGAACTTTAGAACAAGGTAAATTCAGCAGTCATTTTTATCAAGATATTGAAAATTAAAATGATTATTGAACTAGTCAAGGTACAGTTCAAAGGTTAATAGTTAAAACTATAGTCAAACTATGATTAAACTAATTATTATCTTATTAAATTAGTTAAGATATTAATTTATCAATCTACTAGCTCAACTGAATAGATTGACCCTAAATTTTATAGCCGGATTCTTATACACCATTTATGGCACCCCTTCCCTCCCTTTGTTAGGTGGGATACCATTCAAGGGATCCTTAATTTTTACTTTTTTTCTGGGATGAAAACTAAACTTATTCATAATAAAAAAAAAAACAAGAACAAGCCAAGCAAACTACAAGGAGAGCCAAATCAATCACCATCAACCCCCTTGGGACATCTAAGATAGTGGATGATCAAAGATATGAAAAAAGCCCTCAATAAAATGAGTTTTCCTAACCAGGTGGTGAGCAATGTTAATCACATCTTTATGAACAAAGCTAATAATAACAATCTAGTTCCTGTGAATTAAATTAATTTTTACTTTTTAATTTGAAATGTACTTACTATGTGGCTCACGTCTATTTATACTTGAGATGTTGTTTGTTAAATACTTCAATTTACTATGAACTAGAAATTTTTTGCATGTTAATTATTATAAATTCTAAGTTATTGTTATAATTTTTATTTATATATAATATATAAAAAATCATATTATTATTCAAGATTCAGAAAGAGCCCAGTTTAACATGATGTAATAAAAGTTCAATTTTTAGGCCATCTAGCCTTCACACATACTCTATTGCTGTGAAAACTGAATTGAATTGACTAGTTTGGTTTGGAACTGGTCTAATGTCTAGCCTAGAAAACCAAAATGGTTAGGGAATTGGTTGAACTGCTTTGAATTGGTTAAAACCAATTGCACCGGTTAAACTAGGCACATATTTTTCATACTTTTATATATATATATATATATATATATATTTTAAATCTACGTTTCTAAGTTACAATTTACACATATTTAATATCTATACCTAGTAAATATTGGAAATGAAAGAAAAATGAACAAATATATAAGAAATATGGACATGTATGATTGTACGCATGTATTCTAAAATTATAAATTGTGAAATAAATATATATATTTTGGATAAAGAAAATGGAGCATTCATGCTCTTCCTTTTTAACTATAATATTACCTTTTTAGAATTAAATAATTGTTTTCCTCTCCACAAGTTTTTAATAGTAGAATGATATTAACCCAAAGTGATTTGTTAAAATGATACTTTCATATTTTATCTGAGTGAAAAATAACATTAATATATTAAAATTTATTTGTAACTTAAGGGATGTAATCAGTATTAATTTTCTTATAACATCTTTTTTGTAATTTGTTAAATCATTTTCTGTAATTTTATAGGTCATTCTTTATAATTTTTTGATCAACTAACTATCAAATTAATAAACATCTAATGAAGAGGTGATATTGCTTTGTTTTTCCCTGGATTTTATGTAATTTTCCTAAATTTTTGGCTAAACTTGTTATAATTACACTAAAAAACTCAAAACTTTCATAAATTATATTTTAACTTCAGTTGAGCTTTATACTTTTGGAGTAATGTGCCTTCTTGCTCTATTATAACTCTAGGTACTTTCTCATAATTTCATGGTGCTTTTTAATAGTTATTAATTAGTCCTAAATAGGCCTTTACTTTTACATGTTTTTCTTTTTCTTTTTTCTTTTGTTTCATTTCTTTATCTTGATAGTGTAGTTGATATATCTTAAAAAAAAAGTTAATGATACTCTTTTTGTAATAGTGACCAAACTAAAAAGGTAGAAGTATTGCAAATTCATCTAAGGCCATCATCCTCCTAGAGAGCTACTTCCTCTGTTAAAAAAAATAAAGTATTTTTAATTAAATTTCACCCTTTAATAAAATAGTTATCTACTTTCAAACTAACTCTATCTTTTCATATTTATACTTATTAAATATCATACAATAAATATAAAATTATTTATCAATAGGGACACTTTTGAAAAAAAAGCAATGATTTCACCTTAAAAGATTAAAAATATCTTACATTTTTTATCATCTAACTCTTTAAAAAATGCCTTACATATTTTAATGGAGGGAATATCATATATTTTGTGACTCAAAAACTTTCTATTAGATCTACTGCAACAATATGATCTGACTATAATTTTGTTGAGCCCTTTTTGAATCTACTGCAATTCTTAGAATATAATTGTGATCCTTTTTTAGGAAACATATGATGTAAGAATAAAGTTGTTAAATAACTTTATAATTGTTTAATCTGATAACTTTACTGATTATTTTTAAAGATTGATCTTAGATATATTTGTTATTTTTCTAAGCCTTATTTATTCTTTTTAGCTTATTCTAGACTTTTTTAATCTTTTAACTTGCTCATTCCTCAACTATGGACATTTCCTTAAAATCTCTAAAAATATTTCACTTTTGTGCCAAAAGACTTTTAAATTATGATTTGGCCTTGGAGCATCATTTTATCTTTTTAAGTCACTTTAGAGACGTCTAATTGATTGGTCCTAATATCTTACTTAATTGTGGCATATTCTTAAGCTCCTAGCCCTAAAATTCAGGGTGTTGCAAAGTTAAAAAATAATTAATAAACTATCTTTTTAGGCAAAATAATTTATCAAAAGATCGCAAACTCCTTCTAGGAGATTACTTGTGTACTTTGTTGGGGAAATCACAAATAAGGACCTCCAAATATTACAGACAATCAATTAAGATCACGGAACTCTGAAATTAAATTATAGCACCATTGTCTTCTTTTTTTTTGTAGTTTTAAAAACAATATTTTGATTAAAGTGCTCGTTATAGCTAAAATTTTGCTAGTTCTAAAATCACTTTAATTAGATTGAAAAATTATTTAAAGGAAGTTATGAAATCATTTTATTTGAATTATAAAATATTTTATTTCTAAACTTGCAAAATTGGTCATCAAATTTGGAATTGGCCAACTTAAAATTTGTTAGTGCTGAAATTACTTTAATTGGTGTGGAAATGTAGTTGAAGGGGGTTATAAAATTACTTTATTTGAGTTAGAAATGTTTTTACACCCACACTTGCAATTGACCAACTTCAAATTTGCTAGTGTTAAAATCACTTTAGTTAGTTTAAAAATTTTTAGTTGAAGGGAATTATAAAATCAGTTTATTATAAAATGCTCGTTTTGGCTAAAACTTTGCTAGTTCTAAAATTACTTTAATTGCATTGAAAATTTATTTGAAGGAAGTTATAAAATCACTTTATTTAAGTTGGAAAATATTTTATTTTTAGACTTGCAAAATTGATCACCAAACTTAGAATTGGTCAACTCAAACTTCATTAATGCTGAAATTACTTTAATTTGTTTGGAAATGTAATTGAAGGGAGTTAAAAAATCATTTTGTTTGAGTTGAAAATGTTTTTATACTCACACTAACAATTGACTAACTTTAAATTCGTTAATGCTGAAATTACTTTACAGTATGTTTGGATTGCCTCATTAATCAATTTTTGAGGCAAAAAATTAATTAATATGAAAAGTTAACAGTCAAATATCATCAAAAAAGCATTGAAAAAAAATTACCAAAAAAGGCTCAAGAAAAAAATTATAAAGAAAGCACATAATTTAATAAAAATAAAACTAAACTCTCTTCTTTTCCTTTTTTTTTCTTAACAAAATTTAAACTTTATATATTCAAAAAATTAATATTTATTATTTAAAAATTAAATTATATAGTAATTTATATAGTTAAAAATTAATTCTGATTAAATTATTCAAACATATTCAATTTTGTTAAAATTAATTTTAAAAAAACAGTATCTAAACAGATTGCATTATAATATAATCAATTATGATTAAAATCTATCACTTAATTAATTATTTTTATAATCTATTATACTCAATTAAAATCCAAACGGACCCTTAGTTGATTTAGAAATTTTTAGTTGAAAGGGATTATAAAATTATTTCATTTGAGTTGAAAAATATTTTACTTTCAGACTTGCAAACTTGGCTGCTAGACAAGGCATTTTAATCAAGGTATTATTTTTAAAATTACAAAAAAATATAGTCTTAAAATTTAATTTCATAATTTCATGGTGGTGAATTGATTATTTGAATAATTTTCTATGCTTCATTTTCATTGTGGAGAACCGCCCCTAAAACCCAACATATTTTAAATCATTTTTGCAGGTCCAAAGTCCATAATGCAAATATGTTTTTTTTATGAAAAGATGCATTTAACCAAATGTACAAGTTTCTTAGATATATGTATATAAAATATAATTTATGTTTGTTATATGTAGTTTGTGTGGTTAAATTGAATAAAAATATAAAAGTTTTAAAGTTTATATACAACACAATATTTATAAAAAATATAATAAGGTTCATACGTAAAAAATGCAATATTCATTTATCATATATAGCCTTTGTAGTTAAAGGTAAATGTGTTTTTTTATGAAAAATATATTTGCATTCGGGACCTTTTAAGCCTCCCTAGCCAATCCAGAAAACATTGGATCTGAAGTGCGATTTTCTTATTATGGGGCCTCAGGTGAGTTTCTCCCTTTCATCGTCCAGGGACGAAACTTGAATAAACGCTGTCGTGTAGAGCAGAGAAAAATGCCTGACGCCTCCTAAACGCTGTTCTACGTAGCTTTTCCTCTCACGACGTTCGCTTGGCTGACAATCCATCCCATTCAGCATTGAGCAACCAAATCCGAATCCCGACTGAGGAGCAGAGTCGAAAATGGAGGACTTTTGGAAGAGAGCCAAGAGCTTCGCTGAAGAAGCTGCCAAGAAATCCCAGACCCTCGCCGACTCTTCCAAGTTCGCCGATTTGGTCTCCGAGACCGCCAAGAAGTCCAAAGAATTAGCCGCCGAAGCTTCCAAAAAAGCCGATCAGATCAAAACTGCTGCTCTCAAACAAGCAGATCAAATCAAATCCTTCTCTGACATCATCCCTCCTCAGCTCTCTGTGCCCCTTTCCATTCCTAATTTCAACGATTCTTCTCCTTCCTATTCCCAGTCCGAGCTCCAAACCTTGGGTGTCACCGACGAACTCAGATCCTTCGTCAAGGGACTTACCTCCAGCACTTTCCAGAACTTCCCTCTCAAATCTGGTATTTGAGAATTCCCATTTTGCGGCTTTTTTTATTATCCATTGTTCTGTGTTTATTACTTTATTTAGTGGGTGTTGGTTTTCCTGGGTAATGCAGATGAAGCGGAGGCTTCGGACGCGCCTACGACGGCCTCCAACGTTCGAAAAGATCTTAATGAATTTCAGGAGAAGCATGCCACTCTTGTTCTAACCACTGTTAAGGTAATTCTCTTTTTTCCCTGGGTGCGTCATTTATTGGATCTCTCTGTATCCCCATTGTTGACTTCAGATCTCTCTGTGTTATCCATACCTACATTTAGTTAAATCCATTTCATTGAGACGGATTTATCATATTTCATTTGCTTATAAATTCTCCTTAAAGGCTCAAATTTCAAGAGCAGCGCAACATTTTAAACCTCTGTGCAGCTATGCAAGTCCTTGGTTGATGGAGTATGGATTGAAATACGATTCGATTCATGTCTACTTACTCCTAACTTCGTTTGTTTTATGCTTGTATTGACAAATAATTGCAGTGAGAGAAAGGAATCCCGCATCTTTGAACTTGTATTGATTATTTTGCGTTTTCATCTCTGATGTTGCCTTTAGAACTATCAACAAATATATGTGCTGGTCGTGCTAGCCAAGCTTTCTTTTCATTGAAAATAAATATTGATGCCGGATTAAGAGATTCAACGTTTTATCACGTCTCTTTTTCCTAATAGTCATGTCCTTCTTCCTTATGGTAACTGTTTCACAGTTGGTGATATTGTCATATCTGCTGGCTTACATTGGCAATCCATCTAAGGGGAGACGACTGTCTGATTTGCAATAGTGTAGTACCTGCAGTAGTGTTGCACAGAAAAAGGGGGAAAATTGATTGACTGAATTTGTTACTATCAACTTATGCCACCATGAGTCCATTTTTTAGTTTTATGTTCCCTGTTAGTCCAATGCTAATATTTCGTCCTGCAAAAAGTAAGTTTAAAGCTTTTAGACCTGAGTAACTTGGGAATTGCTAGATGTATGTATTTATTTGAAATATTTCAGGCCTAATATTTGCAAGATTTTATATCCGTTTCTTTTCCCCAGGAAATTTCAAGGTTGAGATATGAACTATGCCCCCGTGTGATGAAAGAAAGACACTTCTGGAAGATATATTTCACACTAGTGAACACTCATGTGGCTCCGTAAGTATTAAATCATATTGATTAGTCATTTTTCTAGCATGATTTGTTTAAAGAATAATTTACATGCCATGTCATTACCTATTTGGCTCTGTAATTCACTATGATTAGAATCATCTTTTTTTTCCTACTTGCTGTTTTTTTTTTATTGCTAGTCAATTTATTCTAGAAGAATAAAAAAGGGATATATGTGATGGTACATCTTGTCCATTCCAATGATTGATTGCTGTAGCACTGGAAATTGCTTCTAAAGTATTGACATTTTCACTGCTCTTAATATTACTTGAATTGGCCAATTGATAATTATGGCTTCCATTTAAAATTATGACATCTTTATAATAATGGTCAGAATGTTCCATGAATTGGGGGGGTGGGGGGGCTGGGCGGTTTTGAAAATATCTGTAGGGAGAATAGGAGTATTATTGGCTTCACGAGTGTTTAGTAAAGATGAAAATATAGAGATGAAGCCTCATTCCTTTGATGGATAATCGCAAAAGCTCATGCAAGATAAACTGAGTGATATTATCAGAGCAATGAGTTAATTGGATGCCAATGATTAAATCATATGTAACTGCAAGTCCAGTTTTGCATTTTTTTATGAACTAGCTTGTTTCTGGGATAGGGATGCGAATTGAGTTTGAGCTATCTTGCTTAATTTAACTGCACTGTCAGCTTCTTTGGTTTCAAACCTATCCCTCAAAATTTTAGAATATATTGAAAATTCAAGCTTACTTTGTTTCAACTACTTAAGTTGTTTCAACTATGTCAATAGACTAAGGAATTGCATTCTTATCAGGACTTTTTCTTCATATGAACTCAACCATACAATTTCTGCCTAAAAATAAATATTTATAGTTCCTCTATGATCCAGGGTGATCTGTTGAATGTACAAGCAGTAGGGGATTCATTTTCAAGAGTTGTGAATCTGTTGCCAATTACAAATAAGTGGCTCATGCACTTTACTTTGGCAGTCCCGATTTTGCTTTCATTTTGTTTTGCTAGTGTCTGTCAAAGTTGACTATTTGGGGATGGCTTTAAAAAGGTATGTCAGTGTTGATAAATTGAGATAAACCTTTAGAATCAAGTAGGTGAAGGCTGATATGGGGCTTGCCTCCGATGTCATTGTGCCTGCACTCTGGTTCCCAAATTTTTAGAGTAAAATTGAGTGAAGCTCAAGCTTCTTCCTTCTCATGTATATCTAAATTCAAGTCATATGGAATATTAAGTTGATATGTACCGATATAGGAAGCTTGGCTAAGCTTTCTCCTGTGGTCTCTTTTGGGGAAACTTGAAATGTGGTATATACTGATGAGTGGTACATTTTTCATTTTTCTAGTTTTTAGAAGGATGCTGAGAAACTTAAGAGTTGGAAAAGAAAAATAGTATATTCTAATATTTCCCACAAGTCTGCCATCATTCATGTGTTTATGTACGAGGTCAATTTTGTTACTTTTTTCAGTTAGCATCACTCAATAACCTTGTAATAACAATCAGGTTTGAGAAGCGCTATCTGGAGGAGGTTAAGCTCCGAGCAGCAGCTGAACAGCAAGTGGACAATAAGGTAGAGAAAACAGCTGTTACTGGAGAAACTGAAAAGGTTGAGGCAACTGGGAAAAATGTGAAGAGCAAATCATCTAATTCATCCGCAACTGAGCAAGATTTGGATACATTTCTTCTCGGTGATCTTGAAGACAGTGATGGAGGTCCGGATATCCTTTCTTGAGTTTCAGATTTGGCTATAGAAACTTGCTGTCTAGTGGGTCGCTAATTCTTTATCTTTTCATGTAGATATAATTTTTGTTCCAGAGCATGTGCTGTTTCTCTTTTGATTGCTGATTACTTATAGCCCGAGAATCATATTATCTTTGAATACGTGGGGGCGTTCATAAATTTTGACAGCTTACTTTGATCCCCAGTCATTTATGAGGAAGAAAAAAAGAACCAAAATTAATTCTGTTACCATGAGCACTGTGTGAAAGTGTCATTCTGTCTAGCTACAGCGTATTGATTATCTTGTCTATCTTTCAGATGATGGCGAGGGCAGCCTTGATGATGATTTTGACAAGATTGGCAATTCTGTAAGCGCTCTTAGATCTGGAATCCCTTTGGGTTTCCCTTTTTCTTTAATTGATTGATTAATGATCTAACTCACCTATGATTTTATTTTCCTCTTAAAATACGATAGCTTGTTCTGAAGGCATAACTTTGGGCTGGGGGAACTAGAAAACGGGATAATCACTGTGTTGATGCCAATATGCATGTGAAAATGATTATATTATCAGAAAACAACATAAAGTGATATAAAATAGGTTCTGTATAAAATGGGGGGAGAAAATAGGAGCAAATGTCTGAAAGCACTGGCAAACACGCGGAGGGAGCTAGGGGAGAAAAAGGGTTCTAAAAGAGGAAAACATACGATGGTGATGCAGTTTGTGTTTTAAGGATGTTATTCGAGGGTTTATTTATAGAATTTGCTTCATTAACTATTAGCTGTATCTTTTCTTGAAATTTTTAGGATGTTGAAGAGGAGAAGCATGCAAAGAAAACGTCTGATGCTACCACCAAGTAGGATGTTGAAGTTTGCTGCTCGATGCTCACGGATTGATCAGTGGTTGGTTAAAAAAAAAAAAGAAAAAAAGATGAACAAATTTAACAGTCTCTAGTTTAGGATTTATGGCGGTATAGATTTGAGGACCGGAGGTATGATTCGTTGTTGTTTATTCAGCTTTGGTAATACTCTATATAGTGGCAGTTTGCATTGTACAGTTGACATTATTTTGTTAATTTGATTATGTATGGTTTTCATGTAACATTTCAAACAACAAAATATAAGCTTGCTGAGAGACCCAATAGTGTTAATTAATTCACTTGATATTTTCTTATTTTTGCATGTTCCACTACATCGCATCATTTGTGTTTATAGATCCCTAATCACATGAATATGAATATGCGATTTGGTGATTAGGCTTTAGGAGTGAACATCCAAGCCATTAACATTATGATTTTTTTTTTTTTTTAATACAAAAAAGTTATGTTGGGTCTTGGGGGTTCGTTACGTTTGACATACCTTCGGCGTTTATAGAAGCATTTACCTATCACTTAATAACAAAGCTTTCATGTTAGTAGTGGGACTTGATTTCACATTTGTAAGTTATTGGTTAAATTCGTGTTAGCTTAACATTATGATCTTTGATCCCGTAGAAAAATAGATGGAAGACCCAATAAAGATCTTTGTGGGCTGATAATCAATGTTGGGTCCATGAAAAATAATGAAAAGTTGTGGGCCCCCTTCTCTGTGGGATTGGGGACTTTGGACATGCTGAACAAACTCGAAGGCGAATTGGACGTTCAACTTTTGACCCAAAAGAAGAGAGATTAATTTTGGCGACACATGGTCCGTGTCTAATAATTGGATTCAAGCTGCGTTAGGTCTGAATTTTGGGAGCAGACTTTTTGTTTTTCCTTTTTACAATGGGGAAACCTTTTGTAGCATACCGTACGGCGTAGACTCAATTTTTTTTTTGGGTAAAAGTGCCGTAGACGCAATTCAATATGGAAGAGAGATTAAATTTTGGCGACACATGGTCCAGTGTCTAATAATTGGATTCAAGCTGGGTTAGGTCTGAATTTTGGGAGTACACTTTTTTTTTTTTTTTTCAATGGGTAAACCTTTTCTAACAAACCGTAGACTCAATTCAACATTGTTGCTGCAAGTTGGAAAGTTATTAGGCATAATTTCTCATGTATTATACAGATAAGGTGATTTTTAATATTTGTGGCTATATATATTGATTTGTTTTAAAGTTTGAAAGTTAAAAACATGAGTTGAGATGGGGACTTGAATCATTTAGGCCATGCATGGCATATGTGTGATGTGAGATAAAACATTATTTGAGTGAGTGCCTTTTCATTTCTTTTGTTTTTTTCAGTTAACTACAATAAATCTGTGTCCAGCTGTTTTGGTATTAAGTCATGATTTCAGACTCAAGGCATGTAAGACAAGTGACAAGGATTACTGAATTCCTGATTCTGGAAAAAAAACATTGACACAAATTCATTCGTTTTATGTTCTTTAAAAAAAAAAAAAAAAAACTCAACGTATTCTGCAATGGTCTCTCAGCATTCTTAATTTAAGTACGGTGCAAACATTCAGTTGTTTTTGCATTGGTTTTTTTAGAGTTGATGAATAAAACTGCACTATATTTGAGTTAAGGAGGATAGTAAAACCTTGCAAAATATTTTATGGGAATTTTTTGTACATAACCCAAAAAACAATGCTGTTTTACAAATGATGGCTCAATGCAGATGAATACATTTAATTAAAAATAATAAAAGGGAAAATGAATATGGTACTTCCGCGGTAAATATGTTATGTAACATGTCCATCAAGTCAGTCTACTTTAAACAGATGGGCTCTCATTTTATTCTTTGCAAGTTGTAGAGAGGTAGGAGCCCAAATTAATTAATTCAGTCTCATCAATCTTTAAAATGATTGATGGACACTGAAATACATGTAAAAATGCAATGCCCTCTGTTTCCCAAGAATTAAATGACGAATTTGAATATGAGAATAATTACACGAAATCTCCTTCAACACAAGTTAGCGAGTGATGTTCATCGGCCAATTTCCCAGTTTAGCTCCTTCACAATTATTGAAATACGGAGATAGATAATACATCAATTCAACCTCATTGATATATATTTTTTTAACGTGACGATATGATTGAGTTAAATTCAAACATTATCAAACTCAATTGAATGTGACTTTCTTAAATGTGTAGCGGTAGAAAACATCATGATACAAAAAACTACTGCCTAGATTGGTCTTAAAAGCTTGATAAGTATTTTCAATTGAGTTGGCCAACATTAGCCTATTATTGTGCAAGCAAGTCCTCTCCTCCTTTTGGCACATCTATTAACCTAATTTCACTCATTAATATTTATAAACTTGGAATTCCTATCATTCGAGTAATGTGAGACTTTTTTTAAAAAAATTACACCTAAATTTCACGTAAGAGAATTTATTATCAATAGATTTTATAAATTCACAAAATAATCTCAAATTTCAAATCCTACACATTTATAACTTGGCAAAGGCATTTACAACTTGCAAAAAAAAATAACAATTTGTAATAGTTAGTTGTAAATGCCCTTTAGTAAGTTATAAATACTCGTTACGCAATTATAAATATGCAAGATTTAAGATTTAGGAATATTTTATGATTTTTATGGGATTTCTTATTAATAAATTCTCTTTCATGAGATCTAACTGTAATTTTTTTTTTTTACACATCCACACAACTACATCAAAATGATCATAACCCCTTCTACCAAGAAGACCAATGCTTGTTGCTCTTATTGATTTTTTTTTCCTGGCATGAACAAGTGTAAATACTTATAATTAAGAATCTAACACATTACTTTATCCAAAAAAAAAAAAAAGAATCTAAGTATCTAACACATTACTCAATTAAAGATATAATAGTTGAATTACGATAAATATTCATGCATAAGATTATAAGAAAGCAGCTTGCAAAGTGTCAAGTGTCCTTGCATATAAATACATGTTTGGTTGGTCTTATCATTAAGAAGGATGCAACACAAGCCTCCCAAGTCCCTGACATATACGAGTGCACAAACATTATAATATGGAGCACACTTATCTTTTCATTGCATTTGCCCTGGAAATATTAAAATAACAACATGACAGAAGAAAGCTATATTAATTCTGTGAGAAAATGAAATGAAATAAATTTTATCAACATCACTGCATAACTAGACCATGCGTGCCTTCCAAAAGAAGAGAAAAAGAAAATAAATGAATTCCTGTTTTTAAATACTCTTTTACATATCACACTCCTTCAATCCTTATTGCCTTCCTTTTCTCTTTTGAACTTTCAAAACCTCAAAACTTTCTCTTGGTTCCATTTTCTTTTCTCAATAACCAGACAAGTTTTCTCCTGTTTTTGCTAGTTCTGTAAATATTGCAAGAAGAACAAGGTTAATATATTGGATATAAGTAAGCATGGAAGAGAGAAAGATTGGCTTTGAGGATTCAGGAGCAAAGGAGAAGGGATGTGATCAAAACAAGATGAATCACTTAGGAATGATTGTCAAAGCTGAAATACGGAAGAAACTGAGCATTTTTGGAGAGTTTAAGCCTGAGAAATTAATAGGGCTTTATCATGGAGAGATGATGAAGGGTGATGATCTGAATGCGTTGGTGATCACTAAGTCCAATTCATCTCAGTTCAAGGTATGGGCGCTTAGAGTCTCATATCTTTTGCTGCTTTGGACCATTATGGCAGTTTACTGTAAAGGCATTGGAGATGAGTTCAAACCCACCTTCTTCAACACTGATCACTCTGCAATTTCACATTCTTTCCCCCCTCAAAGTAAGTCTTTATCTTTCATATTCCCAGCACAGTAAAATTTCCTCAAAACCCTCAATCACATACATGGGCATGTGATTGCAGTTTTTTCTCAAGCTAGTTTATAATTACTGAAAATCACATCAATCTATCAACATGAATTCGCTGACTTCAAGTTTCTATGTGAAGAAGTCAGAAACAGAGAGTTAAATGGAATATAATGCTACAAACTTTTGTTTACATGCATGCAGGGATTTATGAGAATAATGGGTATCTAATGGTTTCTTCTAATGGAGGACTCAATCAAATGAGAGCTGGAGTAAGAATTGCTATACCTAACACTTTTTCCACATATAGTTTATCACCTACTCCAGCATCAGTTCTATCTTCAAAAGCTTCCTAGCTCCTTCACTCTCATTTTCTCAGTCTGGTATGTATATATATATGTATATATATTTATATATTTACTGCAGATCTGTGACATGGTTGCCATAGCCAGATATTTGAATGTGACCTTTATAGTTCCTGAACTGGATAATACGTCCTTCTGGAATGACCACAGGTGAGCGTGAAATTTCAGCTCAAAGTATGGTGGGACTTGTGCTTTGTTAACATTTTAATCCTAGAAAGCTTTTCGACAACAACAGATATATTTGATAGAAATGACCCTTTAAAATTCTTGGTTCACTTTATCGTGGCAGCCAATTCCAAGATATATTTGATGTGGATTATTTCATAAATTCACTGAGAGACGAAGTTCAGATACTGAAAGAGCTGCCTCCCCAAATGAAGCAAAAGATTGAAACAGAATCCCTCTATTCAATGCCACCCATTAGTTGGTCTAACATAACTTATTACTCTCAAGTGGTAAGTACCCTACAAACACACAATTTAGAATGAATTTTTTTTTAGATTAGGTTCTGATTTTCTTATGTTCATATATGCAGATTCTTCCTCGCATTAAGACATATGGAGTGGTGCACTTCACAAAAACAGACGCAAGGCTAGCAAACAATGGGATTCCTGATGAAGTGCAGAGACTAAGGTGCAGAGTGAACTACCAAGCTCTGAGATTTACTCCTCCAATTGAGCAATTAGCTAAGAAGATTGTTAGAATTCTTAAGGAAAGAGGACCTTTCTTGTCTCTTCATCTCAGATATGAAATGGATATGATTGCTTTCTCTGGTTGCAATGAAGGCTGCAACCAGCAAGAGATTGATGAGTTGACACGAATGAGGTTGGCAGTCTTCCCCTTTTGTGATTTGAATCATTATCACTGAATTCACATGATGTTTTAATATTAATTTAACAAAAAAATCTTTCTTTTTTTTTTTGGTTTTGAAACTAAGGTATGCTTTTCCATGGTGGAAAGAGAAAGAGATAAACTCAGAGAAGAAAAGGAGAGATGGGCTGTGCCCTTTAACACCAGAAGAAACCACTCTAACTCTTCAAGCATTTGGCATTGATCCAAACATTCAAGTTTACATTGCAGCTGGGGATATATACAAATCTGAAAGAAGAATGGAAACCCTCAAAAACGCTTTTCCAAATTTGGTCAGTATATAATATTTTTCATTTCTGTAACTGTACAAAAAAATGACCACTTGCTAATCATCTTCACTGTGTGTGTCTTAATGAAGGTTAAAAAGGAGACAATATTGGATGCATCAGAACTTGAACCTTTCCAAAATCACTCAAACCAGATGGCAGCATTGGATTACTATGTCACCATAGAAAGTGACATTTTTGTTCCCTCTTTCAATGGCCACATGGCAGAACTTGTTGAAGGCCACAGAAGGTGCCGTTTCTTTCCCTCAGTAAACAGAATATTCTGAGCTAAACTCTACGCAAATTATAAACATTAGTGGAGCATAAAGATCCTATTTTTATACGTGTAAGTTTGGTTTCAGGTACTTGGGATTCCGGAAAACAATAATTTTGGACAGAAAAGTTCTGGTAGAGCTGATAGACCTGTACAAAAATGGGACATTGAAGTGGGAACAATTCTCAAGTTTGGTGAAGGCAACTCATGCAGATCATGTAGGGAAGCCTACTACAAGAAAACTGGTTCCTGGGAAACCCAAGCTTGAGGACTACTTCTATACTAATCCACAGGAGTGTTTGCCACCACTTTAAGCTCAAGATTTTAGATTTTTGTGTTTCATTCAGTGTCCTTTTGTGGCGGAGAGAGGAACAAGCTGATTCAAAGATGCATTGCATGCAAGAGATTTTTTATCTGTAATTTTCATTTAGATTAGTCTTTTTCTGTGAATGTAATATATGTTATAACTTTGCAAAGGCCAACTTGAAATTGTCCATGCAATGAAATTAATCATTTTTGGGTATAGAAATGTATTGCTTCTCCTGTCAATGCTAAAAAAATGAACTTTTTTTGTTTTTTAAGCATCGACACATTGATATTGAGATTTGAATAAATATATCCGCCAAAAAAAAAACAAAGAAAAGATCTGAATAAATATTTATTATTCAATTTATAGCTACAGTTCCAAAAAATCAACAATTTATAAACTTTTAAATGAATCTATTCAGGCATCACTCATCCCCGTCCTGAAGTTAAATCCTCCACGCATGTCTATGTCAAAGAAATTAATGCATACGTCATGATAAAAATAATTACTACACAGCCAATCAAATTAAAATTGATATAAATTTTTGGTTTGATAGTGACAAAAAGTTTGAATACTAATTTGTTAGAATTAATTACCTCTTAAATTTATCTGTATTTACTATTGATCCAAACATGAAAACCCCGTTATATCTAAACCATTTACCAGCCAAAAATTAGATGTTTCATGGCACATAAATTTTTTATAAAAAAGTATATAAAAACAAAATAAATTAATAAGAAAAATAAGGAAAACAAAATTGCACATAGCTTCACTAGCAAGTCTATATGTCAAGACTTGAGAGAGAAGCAGTGAGTCGCAGTCACAACATTATGATGAAACTCTTGCTCAATCAATCCATATCGATCACTAATTGTTGTGAATTTCAATCCCAATTATAGTTATAATTATAATTATACTAATAGATTGAAACAAGTAATGAATCAAAGGAGCTCAAATAATAGAACTATATATATTGAAGTTATTATATCCTCATCAAGAAATTAAGAGACCACGAGTCTATTCATGAAATAATTACTATATTATTATATGATATCTTCTCTTGTAACGTACAAATTACTAATTAGCTTTCGAGCTACTGCTCATTCCTCAACGTCAACAAGTCATTGCACCTTGATCACATGATGTTAGCATGGTTAATAGTAATAAAAAGGATTGAGAGACATGCACATTAGCTACATAGAAGTCGTTTAAACCCATTTTCTTCTCTTGTACGTGTAGAGAATATTTCATTTTCAAATCAGTTCAGCAATTTTAAACATTGAAAACAAAGCATTTATCATCACTAAATGCCTTTTAATGCTTCATTCTCCAAAACTTTTCTTCTGCTTTAATCATCATCCCTCATTTCCCCAAAAAAAAAAAAACACTCACACATTTAAAGTTTATGTTATATATATAGAAACATTTAGCACAACAATGCAAGGAGGGTGGCTCCTAAAACCAGCTTGAGGATAGAGCTGGCTTGGAGACACCTTTTGCTGATCCTAGTTGAAACTCTAATATTAAGTACTGTTAAGTGTATAAACTTTGTGGGGTTTTTACATGTAGAGAGAATTGGGGAGTCAAGTTGAAGATGGAGAAAGAAAAGGTTGGTGGTAATGGAGAGCCTAAATTTGCAGAAGTGATGAACGAGGAGGTTGGAGGTATTGAATTGGCGATGTTGAATAAGTTGATTGTGGTCAAAGCTGAGAAACCCAAGAACTCGATTGTTAGTATGGAATTCAAAGGCGATAACCTGATGAGTTGCATCAGTTCTCTTTCTTCACTGACTAAGATCAAACTTCTATTGCTTGTAGCCGTTACCATGTTGTTGGTTGGTATGCTTTTGTTGGAGAGCACAACATTTAGTGACACTCTGAGTGTAAGGATCTCAACGGTGCGTTCTTCTTATCCAGACCTTCTTCGTCCACGAGAAAGTAAGTCCATCAGATGCTTGTTTTAATTCCTGCATGATTTATCTACCTTTAGACTATAAGAATTCCATACTTGCTTCACATGCAATCCACTCATTTGAATCTGATCTTTTTTAGAATGTAAGCTGGTTCAATCCTCAACTATTTCAAGAATATGACTCTGGTCTTTTTGCCCATTGTTATTTTACTAGTTGATCTGATATATTTATTAAGATTGGAGAAGGTAGCTTTAGAGGGTCTGTTCCATATGAATTTGAATTCTTTGTCGTCATGAAAACATTTACACAAATTCATGCATGATTTATCTACCAGACAATAAGAATTCCATAATGGCTTTGTCTGATTTGATCTTATATTTACACAAATTTTTTTTTTTAAGAATGTAAGCTGCAATCCTAAACTCTTTCAAGAATATGGTCTGATCTTTTTGCCTATTGCTTTGTCTGATCTTATATTTTTATTCCATATCAATTTGGATCCCTTGTAGTCAAGAAAACAATTACATGAATTATATTGAAAGTTAGGGGGGGGGGGCAATGTGAGTGGTGTAAAAAGAGAATATAAGTCTCGCACACAGTTTGTATTTTTTTATCACTATTTTGTCAACTAAACCTGTATAAATATATAAAAGATCTAAACTAAATCCATATTAGCATTTCTATCAGAGAGATCTCAAGTCAATGCCCAATTGTAATACTGTAGTAATAGCAATCAACTCTCCCTAAAGATTTTTTCTTTGTTGGTGCCTAGTTCTGAGGGTAGGCTCACTCTTCTGCTGACCAATATGTAGAAGTTTCAATACATATTGCGATTTTTATGTGTAAATATGAGTAAAAGGGGACCCATGCATGTTACCATGCTATGACTGGTGATGATAGAACACAATAGTCTATCTTCAATGTGTCTTTCTCCCCAAAACATACCTCTTTAAACTTCTGCAGAAAAAACTAGAAGAAAATGCAATCAGTTGATTTCTACTGTGCTCCATGCCATGTTGATCTTCAGGGGTTTACCAGAACAATGGGTATCTGATGGTGTCATCCAATGGAGGATTGAACCAAATGCGAGCTGGTGTGAGTATATGGGCAAAATTTGAAGCCCCTTTTAATCATCATTAAGACTGCTAAATTCCATGGCACTTGAGCCTTTTGTATTCATGATCATGATAATTTTCCGCTGCAGATAAGTGATATGGTAGTCATTGCTAGATATTTAAATCTAACATTCATAGTTCCTGAGCTGGACAATACCTCCTTTTGGCATGACAGCAGGTAGGTATGCTCAAAAATGGACCAATTTTTATCAGTACTTATGATCTCAAATCACTGCATAACTTCACTTGTACCGTGATTTTTGCAGTCGCTTTGAAGACATATTCGATGTAGATTATTTCATTAACTCTTTGAGAAATGAAGTAAAAATATTGAAGGAACTACCTCCTGAGGTGAAGAAGGAGCTGGAGACAAGATACCTTTATTCTATGCCACCAGCTAGTTGGTCCAACTTGTCATACTATCATGATTCTGTAAGTTCCTAATATATTTTATTGCAGTTTTCAAACCAGACCTAAGGTTCATTTTGTGGATGAAGATCTCTTATTATATGAGAATGACAGATTTTATGTGCATCTTGTGTTCAGATTCTTCCTCGAGTTAAAAAGTATGAGGTTGTTCATTTTTCAAAAACTGATGCTAGGATTGCCAACAATGGCATTCCTGAGGAAATTCAAAAGCTGCGTTGCCGTGTGAATTACAAGGCCCTGAGATTCACAGCTCCAATACAAGAAGTTGGGAAGAAAATAGTGAAAATTCTTAGAAAAAATGGCCCTTTCTTAGTTCTTCACCTCAGATATGAAATGGACATGTTGGCATTCTCTGGTTGCTATGAAGGCTGCAATAAAACAGAAAGGGAATTGCTGACAGAAATGCGGTAGGCACAAAGATCCTCCAGACTCACAAAATATACAATAAAGACCCACATAAGTTTGCCAAAACTAGATCTTATTAAAGAAAAGCCTCAAATGTTTACCCATATATATATATATATATAAGCAGTTTAATCTGCTTATCTTTTGTAGATCAGATTCATCTTGAGAAAATTTCTTTTCCAGGTATGCATACCCATGGTGGAAAGAGAAGGAAATAGACCCTCTAAGAAAAAGGCAAAATGGTTTATGCCCTTTAACTCCAGAGGAAACTGCTCTGACGTTAAGGGCATTAGACATTGACCCTCAAATCCAAATATACATAGCAGCTGGTGATATATATGGTGGAGAAAGAAGAATGGCACCTCTAAGAGAAGCTTTCCCAAATCTGGTAAAATTATGAATGAACTTCAAATATACATACATGTGTGTGTGTGTGTGTGATGTGCTTTGGTCTAATATGCTTTTGCTGATATACTTTAGCCTATGAACAGGTAAAAAAGGAAACATTATTAGAACCCTCTGACCTTGAGCTCTTCCAAAACCACTCAAACAGGATGGCAGCATTGGATTACATTGTCTCAATAGAAAGCGACATTTTTGTGCCTACCTTTCCTGGCAACATGGCTAAAGTTGTTGAAGGTCACAGAAGGTAATGTCTTGTCAATTCAAAATACCTAAAAATCTGGGAAAATTACATATAGATCCCAACAAGTTAATTATTAATTTCATAGATCCCCTGAACTTGACTTATTACTAATAGATCTCCTAGAGAACTTCTGCAAAAACATATAGGATAAGTTGTAAATTTCTAAATTTGACCTGTAACTATCGTAGGAGGAGTTGTAAAAAACGTTCCCTTTAGTTTAGGGTTTAACTGAGATTTTCTTGCGAGTCTTCATGCAATATTTATTAGTCAATCTTAGAAATTTGTAATTTATCATATGTGTTTTTGCACAAGTTCTTCAAGGGACCTATTAATAATAAGTCAAATTCATAAGACCTATCAGTGATTGATTTTTTGCCTGGGACATATCTATAATTTTCCCTAAGATTTTTTTGACCAAATTCATATCTATGAGGCCAATTATTGTGCAGGTACTTGGGGTTTAAAACCACAATAACACCAAATAGGTATATTCTGGTGCGTCTAATAGATCAGTACAAGAGGGGGAAGCTGAGATGGGATGAATTTGCTGAAGCTGTGAAGGAAGTTCATGCCAATAGAAGAGGTGGTCCAGCAGTAAGATCATTGTTTCCAGTAAAACCCAAGCTGGAGGATTATTTCTATGCTAATCCACAAGAATGCCTCCCAAGAATGGATCCAAAATCAACCAAAAGTTACCCCTAAACACCATTTTTGCCGGGTGAAAAAGACGATTTAAGTTTAAAAAACCAGAGCCAGAAAAGA